AGATATTTTGTAACCTAAGTATTTTAATTCAGGGGCTGCAAATTTGCACTTTTTGACATTAACTTTTAGACCGGCCTCATTTAATAATGAAAACACCTGTCTTAAATCCTGTACACGTTGGTCCAGATTATCACTAGTAATAATGATATCGTCTAAATATATAAATGTGGACTTTCCAAGAACAGGCCTTAAGCACAATGTCCATACATCGCTGAAATTGTTGCCCGGTGCCCCTGAAATGCCAAACGGACATACGCGCAGGAATGCATACGTGCCAGACTTGGTTATAAAAGCAGTCTTTAGACACATCTCTCTGGTTCTAGACCCCTATTTGAAAATAACCAGTCGTTAAAGTCTAAAGTCGTCATATATTTGGTAGACGTTATGTTCCTTAAGAATTTTCTTCAATAATAGGTAACGGTTATACCGGATATTTAGTTATGTCGAGTTTAATTTACGATAGTCAATTGGCGAAACGCCACCGTTTTGGATGTGTTAATGGATGGTCATAATCATTATTTTTCTTACATAAAACAACCGGGCTAGCATAACTACTTGAGATGGGCGTTATGATCTTTTTCCGTAACATATCTCTAATGTGCCATTCTATAATTTATTCTTTATTCTTATCATACCGGTTTGCTTTGTGGCGAACTGGCATTGAATCTCCGGTGTCAATACTATGGTTAGTAACTTGAGTAAATCCTGGAATATCACTAAATAACGAAGCAAATTCACTTACCACTTGTCGGATTCTTTGTTGCTCTTCCTTAGGCAGGTGATCAAGGTTTAACATTGGCGGTTCCGTTTTTTCCATCTCGAACTGGTTTCATCGTCAGCTTAAGGGACGCTTCATTAAAATCCAGCGTTGCTTCTGCCTCTGAAAGAAAATCTATTCCTAAGATGATACATGTGCTTGTGCAGATTTCTTTACTATAAAAAACATAATTTTTACTTGATCGTCCTTGATACGAACGTATAGATTGGTAATTTACCTATGCACTTACATCTTTCCTCCTTGCGCAGCTAACACTGTCGTATTATCCGAATCCTATATATGCGGAAGTATTTCCGAAAATACTTCCTAAAAAAATCTTCTGCCACACAGGAACACTGCGCGCCTGTATCCAGGAGTGCGGTGGCTGGGATGTTATTCACCAACACTTCAATCTTCGGAAGAGTCAAATTTTTCACCATTACTGTATTTAACTTGTAGGAAGAGGGGTTTTCTTGGCCTTCGGATTTCTGCACCCTGCCGTCAGCAGAAATCCGTGTTAGTTTAAATCTTTTTTTCTTTCCATGCTTTCCCTCTTTTTTCACTGGCCTTGAGACTTTTTTCCTGGATTGCTATTGAACTGTCGACGTTCGCCGGCTGTTTTTAGGATGCTCGGGTTTCCTTGCCCACTGATTCGCTTTGCTTCCGTAGCCGTGTGCCTGACTTTGCTGTGGTCTTGGCTCACCAAATTGGTTTCGTTGTTGATATTGGCGTCTTCTTTCAATGTCCGCTGTTCTTCTACTTTCAAACTGGATTGCTAGCTCAAATAAATTTTCCAGTGTAGTCGGATTCCTTAATTCAATAAAGTCTTGCACTTGGGGAAGTAACCTCGGCAAAATCACTTGAATTATCTCAGGATCCGGACGGTTTCCATACAAGAGTTTGAAGACGTGAATTTTTCTTAAAATAAAGGTGGAAAGATTTTCGATTCTTTGCTGATATATGCTGAAAAGTTCCGTTTCTAATTTCGCACGATCCCTTACGACAGGGAAGGCTTTTACTAGGGCAGTCTTAAAATTTTCGTAAGTATAGGTGGGACTTCCCGCTTGACCCAAGAGACTTCTGCCTTTACATTTGAACCAATTAAGAGCTTGGCCCCTCAAAGCGCTGGTAGCTAAGGTGACTTTTTGGAACTCCTGCACGGGATACATCATGAAGTGGTCATCTAGTTTTTCGAAAAAACTGGTTACCGGTGAGTTTCCATTAAATGTTGCTTCTAGTTTCATCGCTGCGTGCATGGTCTGCACGATGTAACCAAATCCTTCCAAGGCGGCAGCTGGCATTTCTGGATTCTGAGCCGCTTCTGCAGGCAGCACAGGTTCTTGTTGAAACTCGGCTATGGTTATTCTTCTTCGTCGGGCGCCACTATCATGTTCAGTTTTCCGCCTTACTTGCTTGGGGAACATTCAAGAACCTGACTCGGAACAGGGAGCTTACTAAAGCTATGTTCAATAAATGTGGGAAGTAGACAAGATACACAGGAAGGGTATACGAAACCCTTTATTTTTCACTCTTTACAATAATTTCCGGACTTCGGAATACAGAGACCAACCACTTGTGGTCTGAACGTAAGAATATAAAAATATTAACTAAACTCTAACTTAACTTTGGAATAATAAACAAGGGCCTACGTGGAAGATTGGCCTTATATTAACAGGAAGCCGTATGTAGTACAGAGAACTGTTAACACTACAATACGTTTAAAATTATTAAGAGGATTAAAACTCTGGCCTGGAAGGCAACCAGCAACCGAGTAAAATCTCCTAAGGCAAGCGGCCTGCTTCTACTAACTCCTTCCTCTCTTTCGCTTGGCAAAAAGCCACAACTTAAGTACTTGGCGTTCGCCAGACAAATTTGCATAAATAAGTTAACGCTTTTAATTCTGGCCGGAAGTAGAAAATAAGAAGTGATAGTAAAGATTTAAAATAAAATAAACGTTAGTAAAACTTAAGATCCTTACAACCTCAGATCGAAAAACTCTCATAATTTACACTGGTAGACAAAATTAAGAGATGAATTAATTTTGTTCAAATACCACGGGAAATCTTGCATAGAAATAAATGAAATGCACAAAAGTAGCTATGTTGTTAACAAGAGAGTTCAGAAGTGCCTGTGGAATTTGCACCAACCTTCTCCACCAGAACAGTTTTTAACTCCTGAATGGTTCTGAGTTGGTTTTTGCGTATTGCAATACTACTCCTCTCAGGAGCATTCCAAGCATATTCAATAGGACTTAGGTGAGGAAATTTGCCTCGCCAAAATGAACTCAGGGCAATAACTAACGTGAAATGTTGCACATAGGGCTCTAGGGTTTCCTGCCTATACCTCTGAACATTCACAGAACCAGTGTCAAAAGCATGGAGCGGTGTGTGGATATCTTGCACCATCACTCCCCCACCACCATAATGGTCCCTTTAAATGATGTGGCTAGCATAGTATCGGATCCAGGTTCCCGCCATATCAATAATCACCGATAATCAGGTTGTAGAAACTGAATATGGACTCATTCATGAAGGAACATTAGCCGACTGTGTCCAGTTTTCGTGTTGTATGCACCACTGTAAACTCTATTGTTTGTGGAAGGGATTGGGTGGGATGCAAATAGCGGGCCTTTTGGCATAAATTTCTGTATCATGGAGCCTTCTAACAGCTGTCTTCCTTAAAACTGAAAGTCCTGTGACAGTAGCCAGTCACAAGACATTTGTGTGGCTGTAGACGACCTCTGGCGCTTGGCAGAAAGTATCAACTATCGGTGGTCATTGGTCGTTCCCGCGCGACCTTTTCCTGCTCTTTTGGAAACTTTCTCGCTGATTTTAAAGTTTCACAAATTAGAGATGACGATTGGTGTTACATCTACTTCTTCCAAGCTAAGTTTCGGATTGCCTGTCTCAAATCTTCCTACGATTCTCCATCTTATGCCTTAGTTTAAGCGAGGATATGTACCCATTTCACCTAAAAAATATAAAAAGACAACATAAAAGATGAAAGATAATAAAATTGACTACTGTGGTGCAGAGCGGAATGCGCTCTGTAGCTGGACGCGGAATTTTATACCTCCTGATGGCGTAGCGACGCGCACACTAACACATAAGCTCATATAAGAGACACCAGCGCCACAGTGCTATTATATGGCAATCAACTGTCCAGGTTTTGCTTGCTATTTTAGGAAGAATGAGGGGAAATGTTTCCTATCTCTTAATTTTGTCCACCTGTATATATTAAGAACAATACTTCCTTTACTTCGTACACGGGCGTTAAAATACAAGTTGTTAACGTCTATTTTACACACCATACAAGTTGTATTTATTACCATATTTAATACCATATAAGTTGTTAAGTTGTATGGGGAAAACAATCGATGTAGAGGTTACACAAATTATTTTGCCTAGATTGTAGCCTTCAATTAAGGACGTCTTTAAATTGCGAAACCGAAGCACGCTAGAACAGTTTCCTTTAGATGTAATTTAATTATAAAGTAAACGAATATCCGAAAGTACACGAACATCGAGATACGAGCAGAGATCGAGCGCACACAGGCGTAGATCTGGAACGGGAAAAGAAGGGCAAGAATACACGGCGGTAGACGTTTAGATAATAGGAAGAAATGTTTACCCGCGAATTGCGATCGCAAAGGTAAATCGCAAAAGTGGAAAAAGGGGGCAGAACGCCAAGAAAGGAAATAATCCAGAAGGAGAAGAAAAGGACTAATTTCAGCAGATGCAACGGCCAACTGAGTGATAAATGACATCAATTTAAACTTCAACGTATTAGATATCAGGTGCAGAGAGAGGTTTGCAGAGGGGCGAGAAAGCCTGAAAGTATGCAAAACTACTCAGGTATGTTTGAGATCTTTAAGTGCAAGCTGGCAAGTGATAAAATGTGAAGTAAAAACTAGACTTGTGAATGTAAGTGGTTAAATGTTAGGCTTTCTAGCTAACACTAAAGTTTAGAAATTTTGAGCTTAGCACATTTGGTAAGACCTCGAATTAAGGTATTCGCAGAGGTCTAAAGTCTTTAAGCAATTAACATGTAGGATTTCGATCAGGTGTAAGTGTTGGAATACTTTGTACAAGGATACATGCTCTTACATGCAATAAAATGCTGGAAAGCGGCGGAGCGGCGGTAGAATTTTATTGTAGAGAAACTGCAAAATGTATGAAAGATTTTCATGAAACTGAAATGACAGGTGAAATATATGAAATGTTTTAGATATGTTTTTTAAAGTATTTTTTTCCTTTCAGAAGCCTGGAAAGAGATGAGTGCATGTATAAAAAATTGATATCTTGAAGAACTTTCCATTGGTTCAACCAGTCTTGAACAAATGTCTAGTGGTCAGTAAAATTTATATTTATTTTTAAGATTGTAATTTCATGGATGTAAAATTTGACTCTGGTTAGGTTTAAAATTTAAAATCTTAGCAATGTCGTTAAAGACACGTGTTGTAATTACTTAAATTCTCGTAGGGAAAGATGTAAAATTTATTATTTAAATTAACTAAATATTTAAAATTTCAGGATTTACTATAATTTCTCTTTCCAGTTTCTTTATTAAAATGCAAATAAGTTAGAGAGTATTTAAGCTGGGTTTTTAGTTTGTTAAGGCAGAGCGCATTTCTGCCTCTGGAGACTCTTTAGCTTTGACATCTCTGGTAAGTTTGCAGTTATTTAGTTTTGTGTTATTCATTGCCGAAATTTCAACAAACTTATGGCTACTAGTCTACGTTAGTTATATCGCCACAAGTGGTGGTTGTCGTAAACACAAGAAGTGCATTCATGTTCAAAGTTTATGTTTAAGTAGAAAAGTTTATTTTAAAATCTTTCAAAGACTTTGTAAATAATTTCAGACGCAGCGGCAATTCACTTATGTTTGTTAGGATTTTGAATCAAGTGTATGCTTTCAAACTGAGTCAAACTCTGTAGAATAACTAAGTGAAGATACAAACTAATGGAGAAACTACTATAAGATCAAGTCATTTTAGGGCTAGATTAAGAGATAAGAGTTTCAGCGTTTCCCACAAAATATGGAATGCTCTGTTGATTTAATTTTCATCTTTTTCTAGAAGAAGTCATTTTTATAATTGCAAAATAGAAACATGTTTTACCGTATTATTCATTGTTCAGCTGTCACTTTGCTTTTCGCTATGAGAGGGAAAGCATTTCTATTGTCTACTTTTTCATGAAATATGAGACAATGATTGATATCTTCATTTACAATTTAATATTGTTTATATATATGTAAGAATAAAAACATGTAACTCTGAAATGTACTTTAAATTAACAATAGACCTTTAATTCCTCTTTTTAGTTTGGGTCTTGATTTCTTTTTTTAGTTCGTAATTCCTCCTCTTTAATTTAAAGATAGTATTACATTTTTCGAAACTGCATCTTATCATAAAAGGAATTCCGCATCATATCATCTTAACCTTCTGCATCGTGTATGATTTTTAGCCTATCAGATTAGCAAAACGTTTTACTGTAAACACCACTTCAATCCAACCAGTCTTTCTCTTTCTCTGTTTACACTAACTAGCTGAAAGGTTTCTCTTTCTTGTCTGCTTCCGTTAAAAATGCAATGCGTCATCATCAAAATTGTGGGATGCAGATCGTCACCATTGAGATGTAATATGCTACAGAGTAATTAACAAGTATTAAAGATATGTTAGGATTATCATTTTGTAATTCCTTAAAACTCCCTGCACCTTCTACTACGTAGTCGATATATCAGCCATCTTCTAACTTCAGCCCACTTTCGACTTCAGAATAATTAGTGTCTTCCCTAGTCACGCACTCATCTAATATCAAATTATCTACAATAAAACTAAATTATGATCATATATATTCGTAACTATGCTACTGTTCGTCTGTCCATTTAAAGGGATATTATATATTAGTTTGGAGATAGTTAAGTAACGTATTTTAAAATATTTATACAGTATGGAACTTAGAGCGTATAAAAGTCAATCATCAGCCAAAGTCAAATTTCGTTACAAAGTCGAAAAACGAGAGATTAAATGTGCCATTTCTACATTACAGGATATGGAATAGAAAGAGAAGTTTCCAATATTACAATAAAATTCTGAAAATAATATATTTCTGATCCTCGGCTCGAAACGAAAATTCAGAACATTTAAATTCAAAATTGTAGAAAATACTAGATGAGCAGGTAGAAAATGTCTTCTGCTTTTAAAGGGTACTGAAGATTCAAAGAAGGATTTTTATGAACTAGTACTGCAAGGAATTCTTCGATCCAAAAGCAGAAATGACAAAAGCTGGGCTGAATATGCAAAGACGGAAATTCAGAATGATGCACCGATGAAAAGAGAAAAAACATGCAAGGGTGGAGAAGAAATGACTCGGATAGGTAGACACCCAAAATAGTGCTGATACAGAAAAAAAAAAAAAATGACGAATAAATATTTTAACAAAGAAACAGATGACTGAGATATTGGGAGCTTGGATAAAGTTTTCAAAAGTTTTACGTATAATAAGAATGCCAGAAATTCGAACAACTACAGATATGAAGAATGAAAATGAACAAGATACTGAAAGAACAGCGTTCTATAGAGAAATTTCCTGTGGAAAAAAAAAATTGCCGCTTTCCACCAATGTTCCAAGAAGACCGACTATGACCCTTAAAAAAGACTTCTTATGGAAGGAGGTGCGAGTTTTCCATACAGCAGCAATCAGCAATTAAAAGCTAGCTACGACACATATTTCTTTAATTTTTATGCTAAATTGTTTGCCTCAAATCCGCAGTAAGGCCAAGATTCCAGAAACAAATGAAAAAAACATTATGTGGGAGGATAACATATTGCTGCAAATTAGGGTTTGTGAATGTCTCTTTAAATAATCTCTCCAGAAGAGCAATAAGAAACTGACAATTTGTTACAAATCATAATAACGAATAGCAAAACAGATAAGCGTAAATAGCTCATGAAGTTCCTCCTCAGCGCACGAGAAATATCCTAAATTTCTAAAATCACACTTATAGTAAACTCTGAAAAGCAGTTCTGCTAATTCTGAACCGAAAAGACTCACAGCTGATTAACAACTGACTACAGTTAGCTGTCGAAGCCGTCTTTATATGATGTTGCACGGATTTCTGGAAGCTATGAAAAAAATCACTATTTAGAGGTTTCAAAAATACGTTTTTCCGAGTCTTCTAAAAACTCTCCAAGTTGACAAGAAATTATCAAGTAACGCCAACGTGCGATGGAAATTGCCGCAAAGATCCAACAGAAATTTTTTTCATGTTCTAGTTAAAGCTTTTTTTTTATTATTATTTAATTTAAACGCTGTTGGGTTGAAATTTGAAATATCTACAATTCTGCATAAATAATAAATATTTATATGGAAGGCATGTATCCAAAATTTCAATTACATACATAATAAAATCTGAAACTATTAGCCCAAATGCAAAAATTAAACAAATATATAAATTACATAAAACAACAAACAGTAACAACTTTGCAGCCAAAATTATTAAAAAATTTAGAAAAAGCAATGTGAAACAATTTAAATCACACATGTATAATTATATACGGCAATAATATATAAGTGTTATATAATACCAAATAAGTTAATGAACGCTAAAATAGCTCTTATTATCTTTCTGAGCTCAAAATGTGTTCCGCTTCTTACGTAGACGAATCCGGTACCAACAATATTCGTACATGGAATATGTGAGAAATATCAGTCCAATATAAACAAGATAGAGAGTAACATACAACATTGGATGCAACAAGAATATGGAATATTTTGAACACCCAGAACGATTTTAAGATTTAAAATAGAATTTAAGTGTGAAAATAGGAAGCATTTTCAATTCTAACCAATTTTTTTGTTCAGATGAAATTCAACAATGAATTTTTTTCCGTCTAGAGAATTTTTACACAAATTTTTAATTACTCATTTATTTTTATTTTATAAAAAATTGGATATTCATTTTCTTTTGGTCTGCCTTTTCTCTCTCAGTCACTATCTTCAACATTACGTCAGCTCCAAATGCAAGAATGTTCGTGGTAGAATTCAAAAGTAAAATAGCATTTAAGGCAGAAGTCCCCAACAGACTTAATTGACGGCTAAATATGAATCAGGGTAATAAAGTCCACTGCTTATCTTCCATAGCTTGATATTAAAGCGTTTATTATACTTTTTAAATAAAACTTAATTTTCATTAATATTTATCAGATGACTTTCATTAATATTATCTTTATACAATGCATAAATTAGCAGCATTTCTTCTTGAAAATGGTATATATTTAATTACATATTTCGGTAAAACCTATAGGTTTATTTTTCATTAGATATTGTGTAAATATTCGACTTAGGAATCACCTTTATCCTCTAAAACAACATTATCAACCTTAGACGATCCTAATTTAAGAACGCCGTGGCTGTCAGAACACTAACTAAAAAGGTTTCCTCACACTCGTTTTGCGTTTCAAATTGCCTGATGGTATGGTCTTTTCTCATAGTACGATAATATCAGTATTACGTGTTCATGGATTCCGTTAAAGGTAATCAATAACACTTATATAGGAAAATTTGCTTTTGCTAAGACAAACTACATACCTACTTCTTGCTTTTACAAATTTTGGTTTTTAAGAACTGTAACGTATTTTTTTATATTGTTTACTCATAGTTCTCTCAAATCAACGAAACTGAATGCTTAATTAAAAACTGTTACCCTAATGGAGTTGCTAAGGCAGCATAAATCAGCGCAACATACATACATTAGCAGGAATTTTTTCAAAGTTTTGAATATAGAATTTGAATTTCGAATTCTATGTTTCATACTTTGCATACATTATTGAAATTTTTAGCAACAAACAAAACGATATGAAAGCGAGCAGAGGCAGCACTGTGCGGAGTTTGAAATAAAACATTTTTATTTCCGTGCTGCGATATCTGAAATTCTTAAGATATACTATTTTTAAATATTTCGTGAATTAAATTTTACGTGGAGTTAGTGTGAAGAACATAATATTTAATAAAAATCTGAAAGGTTTCAGATATTGAATGTCGCACAAAAGGATTTGCTAAGGGTTTTTACGCTCTCGCTGAGCTCGCAATCTACCAGTCTGCTGTTACACTCATATTAACCCATTTTGTTTGCCTTTTTAGCTTTATTATTAAAGCATAGTTTTCTTTGCACTTACACCATATGCAACTCAACAGAAAAATTACGAAAATTTCAAAAGCAGCGTAGCAGTATATGCGTTTAGTATTACAGATATAGCCTTAAATGTTCGCATACATTTTTCTGTTGCTTTCAGCCTTTATCGTAGTCAATGTGCAGTTGTTTACTAACTTAACTTTACAAACCGTTT